GAAGGATATTGCGGAGTATGTAGCAGTTTGCGATGTATGTCAGAGAGTGAAGGCAGAGCATCAAAAGCCAGCAGGTTTGCTACAGCCATTGCCGATACCCGAATGGAAGTGGGACAAGCTAGGCATGGACTCTATCATGAGATTGCCTAGGACTCGTTCAGGCTATGGCTCGATATGGGTTGTAGTCGATCGCTTGACGAAAGTAGCTCATTTTATCCTAGTGAAGACCACATATACAAGTGCGAAGTTGGCCAAGATATACATGACCAGGATAGTATGTTTGCATGGAGTTCCGAGGACCATTGTATCACATAGAGGAACCCAATTTACCTCAAAGTTCTGGAATCAGTTGCATGAAACTTTGGGTACTAGGCTAGAGTTCAGTACAACCTTTCATCCATAGACAGATGGACAGATCGAGAGAGTAAATCAGATTCTGGAGGACATGTTGAGAGCTTGTGCGCTAGATTATGGATCTAGTTGGGACGAAAATTTGCCATATGCAGAGTTCTCTTACAAAAAAAGCTATCAAGCCAGTTTGAAGATGGCCCCTTTTGAAGCCTTGTATGGAAGGAGGTGCAGGACATCGTTGTTGTGGGATGAAGTTGGAGACCGTCAGTTGTTTGGACCAGATTTGATTAAGGACTCTGAAGAGAAGGTTAAGTTGATTCGCGATAGGCTCAAGGTAGCCTAGTCCAGGCAGAAGAGCTATGCGGATTCTAAATGCAAGGAGACAGTTTACAAAGTCGGAGACAGAGTATATCTTCGTGTGTCCCCACTTCGAGGAGTTAAGCGTTATGGAGTCAAGGGGAAGTTAGCACCATGTTTTGTGGGACCATCCAAAGTTTTGGAACATGTGGGAGAAGTAGCTTACAAGCTAGAATTGCCTGAAGGATTGTCAGGAGTTCATGATGTGTTTCACGTTTCCCAGTTGAAGAAGTGCCACACAGAGATGGTCGATATTCCTCTAAGAGACATAGTGCCACTGGAAGCAATTCAGCTAGATAGCGATTTGACTTATGAGGAGAAACCTGTGAAGATACTCGAGTTTGCCAACCGAGTCACACGCAACAAGGTTATCAAGTTTTGCAAAGTTAAGTGGAGCCAAAATACCATGGAGGAAGCAACCTGGGAACGAGAGGAAGACCTACGGAAGGACCACCCACACCTATTTTCTAGCCAAACCGAATCTCGAGGGCGAGATTCATCTTAAGGGGGGTAGGTTTGTAACATCCCAAATTTTCAATTTGGAATGTTATATATTAGATCATGATTGCATATCATATTTCATGCATTTTTTGGTTGATCCTAGAAATTCTAAGCAACTCAAGGACCCGCGGAGAGAGTTGGGGATTTCGTTATTTTCATATTTGAGTTTTCTCAAATTTTGAAAAAGAGGATCATATGGTTTTAATTATTTTTCTCTCCGTATATTTCTAATATAAAATAAGAGAGAAGATAAAATGACTTCTCCAAAATAAAGAAATATTGGAGGAAAAATATTAAAATCAAATAATATTTTTTTATTTGGAGTTCTATTGCTATTTTATTTGAATTAGGAAAAAATGCGTTTTTTTCAAAATTGCATTAGAGTCCCAAATAAAAGTTCACCTTGTCCGTCTTATTTTTAGAGGATGGTGAAAATTTATTTCAGGATTTTTTGAGTCCGTTTAGTATTTCTTTTAATTGTTTTTCTGCGCGGAATTATTTAAAAAATAGAGTCAACCGACCTACCGGGCCGTGTCCGCCCCGGACTCCGACCCAGCCGCCCTCTTATAAGGATGAGGCCCGAGCCGCCAGCCCGCCTTGCCGCCCTGAACCCTAGCACCGCCGCCGCCCTAGCGCTGCCGCCGCCCCCGCCGCGCGGAGGAGCCACCGCCGCCAACGCCGACAGCCGCCGCCGCCGCCGCCTCGTTCCGCGACCCCGACACCGACCGTCGCCGACCTAGCGCCGCCGCCGCCGCCTCTCGCCGCCGATCCCGCCGCCGCCACCGACCTCGCGGGAGGTATAATCGCCGCCGCCGCCGCCGGATTATCCGAGAAAACCGTTCGTTTTAAAAAAAAACCTATGTTTTTTAAGATCGGTTTTATGTTTTTTTCCCCGGTTTAGTTAAATAACGGACGTTCGTCTGTACATTCGTTTTAACGAACATTGTTCGTCAGTTAGCCGCAGACAGCGAACGTTCGTTCGTTAGCGTGTTCGTCAGTTTTTCTTTTTCCAGAGTTTTTCCGTGATTATTTTCGATTGCGATTTCTGCCCTGATCTTAGTTTTAGTTTTTCTTTTCACTCTTTTATCAGAATCAGGCGATTCAAGCGCCTAGATCTTTTTCTCGAAGCCCTCTTTCTGTTTAACCAACTTGAACAAGATTTTAGTACTATCAAATTTGACTTTAGTCCAGATTAGTAATCGGATCTTGTTTCTTGCGTAGTTTGAGTTTCGTTTCTTCGTTTGATTTGAATCTTTTTGCAAACCGGTGTTCTTCAGTTGAACTTTCTGGTTAGATCTTCTTATTTGAGTTTTACCTGTGCATTTAGTTGAGTACTTATATATGCTATTGTTTGATTGCCATAGAGTTTCCGGAGTGCGAAGCGTGCTACTATGAGTCTCTAGGTTTTGAGGATCATCAGCAAGGCAAGTAACACTTTGATCATATCTATTTATTACCCAGTTTTTTATGCATTAGTTACAACCCAGAAACATTACATGGTTAGAATCTGATTAATATGTTGGTTTTGGGAAGTAGATGATGAGGTAGAACCTACTGCCCTGTTTATTTTCAAACTTTTGGGAGTTACTTCTACGTTATGCTTAGGATTGCTATGCTATGCTCGTAGACACGGATTGGGTGAGTGTATCCATGACAGATGTGAGTATTGTTAATTAATGGTTAACTTAAGGTGGCTACTTAAAATCACATCTGGGTGGATTGCTTGTGGGCACCTGGAGAATCCAGTGTTGTCCTAGGATATCCCAGGGTTCCGTGTGATCATCCTAAGGTCCGCCACCCAGGCTCAAAGGGATCGTAAGATTATTCATGCTAAAAACTTTTGTGTGCGGCCACAAGCTATTATGGGCTCTAGCATAGTTGAGTATGTTGTGTGACCTCTTTCAGTGGTAGACTAGCAGATGTAGGGGATGTAGGTTGGTACTATCTACCCAGAGTAAAGGGTTAATGCTTCTGAAAGACTGTGTCTCGGTCATCCTTTTCTCAAACACCTTGTAGTGCGAGAATTCCAACGGAGGAGATCGAGTCTTGTGGGGAAAAGTGCGCAAACCTCTGCAGAGTGTACAAACTAATCATGGTTAGCCGTGTCCCCGGTTATGGACATCTTGAGTATCTGGTTCTTAGATTATCATGATTGATCTCATCACTCTAATTTAATTTCATTGGATTTAATGATGATGCTTAATTGGGATTGAGTTGGAGGAACCTTATCAATGTTTAACAAGCACCATAATTGTTAAATAAATTTGTTCCTTTGTTGTAGGGAAAAATTGGCTTTATGCAAAAACTGTACCACAGAGCTTTCCACCAGCCATATATGCATGTACTGGTAGCATTTATCTGTTCATTACTCTATGTGTTACATTGCCAGCATATTCCATGTGCTGATCCGTTTCGGGCTGCAACATATCATGTTGCAGACTTTTCAGACGACGAGTAAGGTGCCATAGGTCGTTGCCGTTCACTCAGCTATGCCGTTGGAGTTGATGGACTCACTTTATCTTTCAAGCCTTCCGCTGTTATCATTTTTAGATGGCCTTAAGCCATATGATTGTAATAAGTTCTCCTTTGAGACATTCGTTGTAATAGGTGTGTGATTGCAACTCTGTTATAAATCCTCGAGAGTTGTGTGTGTCAGCATTACCGATCCGGGGATGACACTGATGCACAGAGACTAAACTGTTTGAGGTCTGGTTGCTACATCGTGGATGGCTACAGATGTAAGTAGAAGTGCTATACAGACTGCAGATACAAATTTCAGATAACAGATCCAATTCTGTTTGTTCAGGAATGTCTCAGGGGACTTTAAGAATCTTGATAATATGTACAATTTGCCATCTCAGGTTACCAGTCCTCCCCAGTTCAATCAAATAAACTAAAATTTCAGCAATGATTTGGCTTTTGAAATTTCAGTTCAATTGGTTGAACTAAAAAGGGTCGGATGGAATTTGCAGACCCCTAAAGCTTGCCACCCCTTATGATGAAAGAGCATCGATCGATCTTCGTACCAACTTTCAGAAAGTAATTAACTGGACATGCTGTCAATAGCCTACTTATAGCCTTCTACCTCAAAACACATATCTTGCCTTCTTGCAGTGCCCTGCAGTTCAACTGCTTTGTATGTACTCCTTCTGAAGGAACTTCCTACCAAATCAAGGTCGAATTGCACTAGTGTTATAGGCAGTACCCAATTTTCATTACCAATCAAGACAGTGAAAACAGTGCACTATAAAGGTAAAACAAAATAGGCATTTGAGTTCGATGCACGCCAGGAAAACCCACTAGTTGTACTACCACTTGTAATAATAATACAACCTATGGGACGAAAAACCTAGCGCAACAATCGATCATTCAACCTAAGTTCAGAAAATACATAGCATGCAGTTATACAAATTACAGTATATTACAGCCCAGGGAATAGCAACAAACGAGAGGAGACACGTCTCGGAGCGCTAGAACTGACATTGTCGTCACTTTGAAGGCGGCATACTCTGAGATGGCCCTGCCTCGTCATCTTCTGCGCATCGTAGTGCAGGCATATCCACCTGCTGGTCAGTTGACTCCTGTTCACTGCTACCCGCCCCTGCGTAATTGGCACAGAATCGGTAAGTTATTTGGGATCAGAAGAAGGTTGTTGCTAAAAACAAAGTAAGGACGAAAGAAGAAAGAACCAAATGCAAACCTGCGGTGTTGTTCACTTGCTGGGCGCATGCTTGTGCAGCTTCAGTAGTAGGTCGATCATCCCTGGTGATTTTCAGATGATTTGGATATTCTTAGGCCGCCTCAAACACCTGAGCAAATATAGAATCTATAACACCACCAAAGAATTCAACTTCCCTTAGCTGCGGCAGCTTTTCTTTTCCAATGCCATGAATGCCTTTACTGGGCACCCTCAGGAAAGCCAATGTGAGCCTCTCAAGATTAGGTGCACCCCCACGGAAGCTGAGCTCCTCGAGATTTTCCAGATTATCCACGACCAATTGCTTCAGCCTGGGAAACATGTCCTCTTCAAAACATAAGGCACTCCCCGCATATCCCTTGATGTATAGCTTGAGAGAAACAAGACTCGGGAGGTTCCCTAGAACCTCAAAGGAATCCTCCATCAAGTGGTGAGTCTCTCGAAGCGACAGACTGGCCAACTTGTCAAGACAATTAAACCACTCGGGCAGCCTACTTAGCCGTCCAGCCAAATGCAGGCTCTCCAGAAACACAGGGGTACCCCACATGCGCACTAAAAATTCTAGCTCCCCACCTTCCTTTGAACCATCCACAACCATTAGATAGTGAAGAGAGTTCATAAGTCGTTTCAAAGACTCAGCAAAGGGTGCCCAAAACTTTGCTTCCTTCCTGTTGATTACACAAAGTCTGGTTAACTGACACATTTTTCCCAGCTCACGCATTGCACGGGAGCTTTTCTCTGTAGAGATGTCTACATGAGAGATTCTTTGCAGGGCACCCATATTCCCTAATCCAAGTGGTACCTTCGCTCCACCATTCCACCCAAAACGCTTGACACTTCGTGTCCTTGTGTAATATTCATAATGGCCTACAAGCAGATGATTCAGATTTTGGAGCTGAGTAATGCCTTCGGGAAATTCGTCAATAGAAGTTTCCCTTACATCCAATGTCACCAATTCTTTAAGTTTCCCTACCGCATTTGGTAGTTGGGATATGGCTGTGTTTCTAAGGCTGAGGTATCTCAGCAGAGACTGTTTGCAAATGTCCTTGAGATCTTTGTTAGTACTTAACCATCCACATCCTTCAAGATCTAAAACCCTCAAAAGTGTCAACTCAGCAAATTTGATGGGTACAGGTTTCTCAGTGCAGTCCAGAATTGTCAGTGAATGGGTCTGGGCTATGCACTTACTGGAAAAGCTTCTCACCTCCTTAGCGCCACCAGGATTGATGGAGAGCCGTCGTACCATGTCCTGGCCTACTGTTGTGTTGCATTGACTGCTCCCTAGGAACGAGATGAAATTTTCCTTGACAGATTTGGTGGTAATAACTTCTAGCATGATGTCATGGACTTTACAACTCTTAATCTTGCCACAGCAGCCAATCTATTCAAGGCTGACGATGTTTCTACTGACAAACTCATACAAATAAATCTGACCAATCTCTTCCAAACTGCGGCCATACATTCCAATGATCAAGCCTTCGGCTGCCCACCGTCTAATCAGAGAGCCTCTTCTGATCACAAAATCCTCTGGGAAAGCATACAGATACAAGAAACATGCTTTCAGATGCTACGGCAGATCATTGTAGCTGAGAGCAAATATCTGTCTCATTCCCTCTAAAGTGGGGTTTGTCTCTAGTTCAGAACCCAGACTATCACATACCATTCGCCATTCTGCCGATGTCTTGTTATGCTTTCGAGCTAGCATTCGTCCTATGCTCACTATAGCTAGAGGCAGACCGTTGCACCTTGCCAGTATGGCCTTGGAGACCTCTTGCAAGTCGGTCGGGCATTCCCCTGAGTCGACAAACACCGTCTTGAAGAATAGCTGATGTGAATCATCTGCCGGTAAGGGCTTCATTTCGTAGATACGGTCATTGGAAGAGGTGCTGCAATCTTCCGCTACCTCGTGACTGCGTGTGGTGATTAATATGCTGCCCTCTTCACCATTATCATGAGGAAAAGCTACCTTTAGCTGATCCAATGCAGCTGCTCGCCAAACATTGTCCAGAACGATCAGGTACCTAAAAAAATGAATCACATTCTTGTGAGTAGGCGAGTAACAAAAATCGAGCAGGGACAGGGATTCCATGCTAGGACATGCAAGTGGGAGTTGTCTACTGGCTTGTTAGTTGATATTCCTACCTAGTTGCATATAATCTCATCTCGTGGCAAGTGTGAGTAATAAATTTGGTCGAAAAGCGAGGATCTAATCACAATACCTATGAATCCATCATATATTAGAAATTCTTGAGAAAGAAAAACATCTGACATCGAAATGAATAAACTTATTTTATTGTTAATTCTTAACCATAAATTCCGCAAAAGAACATCTTAACCATAAGTTCATCATCTAGGAAAAGTGATAGCGCAAACAAAGAGCTATCCATCCCTGGACTAGCCCCTTATAATTGGTCTATCCTTTCAAATGCTAGCATAACTAATTCTTCTAACGGAAGCAGTAAATTCCACGGGTGTAACCTAGCGAGGTCGCAGGAGGCTGGAGAGGAGCACCCCGTGCAAGGTCGCTTGGACGCCAAAGAAGAGCACGCGGGTGGCAGGGTGCTCACATGAGGCCATGTGAGTGCGACTGCGGGTGGAAATGTGGCGGGGAGGGAGGGGACGGGTGTGGGTATGTGGGTGGTTCTAATCCATAGGATGTCATGGAGTTCAAGAACAACTCCAATTGTGCCGATCCAATCGGACGCGTGCTTTATTTGTTTTTTATCCGTTTAGGTCGGCCGCCCGCTTGTCGTCCGTCCGCTTTGCATTTGGGTCGGTCATGCGCCCAAAGCGTGCAGACCCATTTTCGTCTTCGCGGCCGGCCTGCCTTTTTTCAAACATAATTCAAACAAAATACAAACATCTTGCATAGTTTTACAAACCAAATAAATATATCATAGTTTACAAGCCAAATTAAATTGTCTCCAATACATTTAAAAAAAAGATACATCTATTGGTTGTCAACACCGGAGAGCGTTAAAGCACGTCTGTATAATTGTGAGATCTGGCCATGCCGAAGAAAAGAGTGACAAATCGAGAGATCTTGTAAGGCTACGGCCTCAAGTATGATAGTGCAAGTTTTGACATGGCCCCTTTGCTGCCCCTGCCAAGCAGAAGGGCAGTTCTTCCACTTCCAGTGCATACAATCTATGCTACCAAGCATCCCCGAAAAGCCCCTGCTAGCATTCATTGCCAACAAGTGGGTTGTACCTGCAGCATTTGGCTCTCTCAAATACTCAAGGTCAATCGCTGCGATCACAACCTTGCAGAACTTGTACATGGACTCTAGGCACGTGGACTCGCTCATACGGACATACCCATAAATGAGATCACCGAGAATAGCGTATGCAAGCATCCGAATAGCTGCAATGCATTTCTGATAAGAGAGAAGAAGCCAATCTTTCCAAGGGCATCCTCCTTGCATTTGAATACTTATCGTATCCCCCCCTCCTCACGGGTATGGTTGAAATTAAAACGTGCCTAGCCATACGAAAACAGCGCCGGAATAGGTGATGTTTGAAGAGTGGGTTCGGTGTCTCGAAATAGTCCTTTCAGAGAAGGAAATGGCCGCTCTCTCGATTGCGATTCAACATCAGAGTGTGCCCGGGATCGAGCACCGGAACAACGGCCGCTGCCTACTAAGGTGATCATGGACGACCAACACAGCAGCCACCATCTCCTCATCGTCGGATGAAGAATCATCTCAAATGAAATTATGGAAAAAGAATTGTTTGGCGGAGTCCATTTGTACCTTGCGGGAAAACCGTCGAATAGCTTGCGGGCATCGCCGAAGAAGCAAGTCGGCGAAGAGTCACGCGCCTCCCCTAGACCAGGTAGCTGGCCTGGCAGCGTCCAGAGATCATGGCGGCGTCAGACGAGGATGGCGGCTGTCGGTGTTCTGGATATGGGGGTATCCAGACTTGCCTACCTGCGGCCTACGGCGTGGCTCAGCAGTGGCCCAGTACGACCCGTCTTCATCAACCCAAGTTCAAGACCCTTGCGAGGGGCCAAGCCTCGCGGGGCGGACGACACAAGGCCTCCTCAGGGGCGGTCTCACCAGGCAGGCTCGCGAGGAGGCGTAGAGATCAAGGCAAGGAGTACCTCGCGAGGAGCACATGACGCAAGCCATGACGATCAAGACCAGGCGGGCGTCAGGCGGGCGCCAGCCTGCGCAGTGTCCACATTTCCTCTTTGGTGCAAAGGGGGCAAGCGCAGGCGCGGAGTACCGAGGCATCAAGCAAAGGTTTCCATATCGGTGCAACCAGACCAGGACTAGCAGGACTGCAAGACGGAGGTCACCGTGGAGTCCAAGACGGCGTCATTGCCAGTGCCTTTGGAAGTCGAAGACCACCTTTAGTCAGGATAAGTTTGTACTGGCTGTCCCCTTTCAAATCCCGCCATTGTGGAATCCCTTCCTGCTCAATATTTGGGATAAGGACCAGGGCCTCTATAAATAGGACTAGCCACCACCGTAGCAAGGGGGGCATTCAGTCCGGGTGGGATCACATTCAGTTCATCCACACCACACCAGCACAAGAACACCTCTCCTTGCGAGGTTGTTCTTCCCCTTGTACAGTTCATCATCGGCCCAAGAGGCAATCCACACACCACACACTGGAGTAGGGTATTACACCACAATGGTGGCCTGAACCAGTATAAACCTCATGTCCCTTGTGTTGTTCATCTTGTTAGCTTAGAATCGCGGCAGGTTGTGGGCGTGGATCGGTAGGGAGAAGATCTTCGTGCGCACCTCAGAGTTCGAACCTTAAGGGTTTTGCCGAAACCCGATATTCGACATTTGGCGCGCCAGGTAGGGGTGCACCAGAATCTTTCCTCCGCCGATCTGTGTTCCGCTGCCTCGTCGCATCCATGTCCGGCGATCCGACGGCCAACGCCGACCGCTTGGCGGCATGGCCTGCCCATGCCGCGCCGCCTGCCCAAGGTGACCTCAACCCCGCGCCTCAGGCAGCCCGTGTTCCGCAGAATGCTGCGGGGCGCGGGCGACATGGTCAAGCGCCACCTGCCCTCACTCCACGGTAGGTGCGATCAGCAGCAAGGGCCTCGAATCACGCCGCGGCCACGGCATCGCACACCCGGCGGGAACAAGCAAACATGAGGGTCGCGCTCACGGTGGCTCGAGAGCTGCTGCGGTGCAGGTTGCAGGAGAGCGGCAGAGACGTGATGTTGAAGCGCGTTGCCGAGCTCCTGGATGTCGCAGCTTCAGGGGCGCCTCCCTTCTGTGTCCATCTTCCACCCCAGGCCCCGGGAGGATCAAGCGGCAGGCCCATCCGTGCCCGCGCGCCCTCAAGCGTGCCCCAAGGCTTCATCGACACCAGCTCAACCATCAACGTCGGGCATCAGGCTGCACCAGCACCACCCCCGATGAGCGAGGGCATGCGCGTCGCCGCCTACAGCCCGAGCGGGCTGCCGCCCTATCACCCCCAAGATGGCGTGCTGGGCCAAGCCGCATGGAGCATGGCGCACTATGGCGAAGCCTTCGGGGTGGCGACCTTGGAGGCTTACGTGCCCCATATGGTGGACCGGGAGTACGCGCTGGAAGACGACCATGGCTCATTCCTCGGGCCAGGCTGGGAGGAAGAGATGCCAGAAGCCGAGCCTTTTCAGGAGCCTCAAGGAAGCCTCACTTACCACGCTGGCGGCAGCAGCTATGGGGTACCGCTAATTCCTCAGGAGCAAGCTTATGCTAACCATGGGTGCAGGAAGTTCAGGTCACTACAGCGGAAGGCTGCCCCAGCTCAGCAGCCTCCCTTCCGCCAGGAGGAGCGCACTGGGGACTGCTGGAGAGGGACCGGGAGCCAGGCCCCTCCCCACGGTGCACGGAGCAAGGTGTTTCCTAGAGATAGGCCCTCTGTCGGGGAGGTGTTGCAAAGCCTGCCCCCGGCAGAGGACCCGTGGTCGTCGGGGGAACTGCTGGCGTCCGCTTTACCCCATTGGCGTCGTCCTTGGTTTCCAGTCGCCGTCAATGACGGTCGAGGGTGGAGCAAGGCGGGGCCCTCGTCTGGCGATATGAAGCAAGGCCGGTACCTGTGAAGAAGGCCCAGTGCCTGTGAAGCTCGCCGCCCGTGACACTCTCACGTAATAGTGACTTGGGGTTATACACGCCCCGGAGTCTCCGGAGAGCCTCCCTCGGGCCTCCACCCACGCCCAGTGGCAACACTTAGCTCCGCGCTGGTGAGAAGACGTCGAAGACTAGACTAGGTGCCGGACGCGGCCTTTTGCTTTTTGCCTCCTTTTCTGTGGTCGAGCTTTCCTGCTTCGGATTTAAATTGAAATTGAATTTGCGTTTGCGTGTGTTCGGGGGGGGGGGTCTTGTCT